AGAAGTCATTTTGGGTATAGAAAGGAAGGATTGCAGGTGGGAGGGAAAGGGAGGGGGCAGGGGATTAGCAAGGATGGTGGAATGTGATGGACATCATTATACAAAGTACATGTATGAAGACTTGAATTGGGTGTCAACATACTTTATATACAGAGATACAAAAATTGTGGTATATATGTGTATTAAGAATTGTAATGCAACAACAACAACAACAAAGTACATGTATAAAGGCATAAATTGGCGTGAACATACCTTTATACATATTTATGAAAAATTGTGCCCTATATGTGTAATAAGAATTGTAATGCTTTCCACTGCTGTCATGTAGTTAAAAAATTAAAAAAAATTAATAAAAAGAAAGGAAGGATTGCCAATTTTCAGCCAGCTCTATTCTACTCTCTGCCCCTGAAATATGCAATTCAAAATAAAAACACTGAGTAGTAAATAAAATTGATTTTTAGAACAAATAAAATCTTACCCAAATGAATAAAATTAGGAAAAGCTCTTTCTTTTTGGAGTGGGCTAATGGTTTGTTGGTGCCTGTATCAATCAGGGTGCTGGAACCTCAAGAATTTACCTGAAGAGAATTTAATGATTATCTGCACAGATGTGGACAGGGTTAAAAAAAAAATCAGTCATGGATGAAGAGGCCCTGCCACTGCAGAGAGCAGTAACCCTGCTCTGGGTTATTCTACAAAGAATCAAATAGCAGTGTTCAAGCTGGCAGTGGTTTGCCATGAGTTATTCCATTTTGTGTACAAGTGCTGAGGTAGAATGACTCTATATCTACAACCACCAAGTTAACAACCACCATCAGCCTACCACAACCTAAGGCACAAATAAATTAATCATGCAAATAAAAATGACCACCTGTGAACTTACTGAATTAATCAGAAACATATGGATGCACAGGCTTATCAAACTCATTTCAGAAAAAACCAGGTCCATGAGCTTATGGAACACACCCAACCACTGAATGAAGTGACCCTCTCAACGGGGGTCCATAAAAGGAGGCACACTGACCCTGTCATCTGGTCATCTGTCATGAGCCTTGCCCTTAAAATTTCTATAGCAATTAATGTTTTATCCTCTGTCCAGGGGCTTTAGCACAGCATGGTTTCTCCAGCCCATGACAACTTGCATAGGCTGTCAGCTGACACTCTGACCTAGAGTAAGTTCCTGCACTTTGACAGCTCTGTGCTCTGAACAAGATCTTTGGCTCATTTGTAATCTTATCTAACCACTTTCAGTGATATTTTGCATTTATATCTGATCTCTGGCTTTGCTCTCAGTTTAGCCTCAGAAATCTCTGTGGCTGCCTTAACACTTTCTTAGCCATTCTGCAACACACACACACACACACACACACATACACACACACACACACACACACATATATATATATATATATATATATATATATATCATTGTGCAAAGTGTAATGTGAGACTTGAGTGTTTTAGATATTTGTAGTTAGGATTAGAATAAAAGGGCATGGTGGCCCAAGCCTATGATCTCAGCAACTTGGGAGGTTGAGGCAGGAGAATGGCAAATTTGAGGCCAGCTTAGCAACTTAGCAAGACCCTGTCTCAAACAAGACAAAACAAAACAACCACAACAACAAAATAAAAAATTGTGATTGCCCAGTTTAGGACTGTCAGGTGACCCACAGGTACTCAGTGAGCTGCCACTGTTGAAAGTGGTATAGCCTGTGAATTCATTGTTATTCAGTAAGTTCAGACATTGCGTAAAGACACATACATGTTTAGTCTATGTTAATGACATAACTAGCTCAGGACACCACCCTGGGCCTGAAGGTTCAGGAAGGGAGCCTGGAGCTAACAATGGAGGAGCACAGCTTCTAGAACTGCCAGTTTCTCAGACTGGTTCAGCAGACTTTATCTGTTCTCCTCCCATGCTCAGACTGGTCTCTGACTCTCATTAGCTGAACTCCATTAGAAGCCAGACCCCTGGTGAACCATGGTAATATATCCTATAGAACTTGGACTCCCAGGGTGGGATGTTAGGATTAGAATAAAAGAGTCTGGTAGATCTTGAAAGACCAAGAATGGATCTTGGTGGGAGTGCAAATGAAGAATAACCAACATAGAGGGAAGATGTCTCAGCTTTGTGAGTGATACATATATATGGCTAGTTTGCCTATTGGGTAATCAAGTACTGAGTCAAACCCTGTGGATAACAATGATAGATCTCATATTTTGTATGTTTAAGTATTTGTGTATGTAAACTTATTAAAATCTATGAATTAGTAGGCTAGGGTGGGACAAGGACATTTATATTTTAAAAACTTCCCAAGGAATTTTTATAGGCCCTGCTTGTGAATCACTGGTAAAGTCCACCTTCTTTCTCTTTCTTCCTGTTTTCTTTTTCAGTGCTGCAAATGGAACCCACGGCCTCTCCCACGCTGGGCTAGCACTCTACCACTTAGCTCTACTCCCAGTCCAACTGTCTCAATTTTTATAATTAGGTAAATGAAGGTTCATAGAAATGAAAAATACCCTGCCTTGGCTATTCTTGGTTTGAGAACTATCCCTTAAGTGACATTGGAGGGTGGAACAGGAAAACTGGAATGTTTGCACCTATCTTCTTGTATAAGTCCTCCATTTTCTTGATGAGGGAACTGAGACTTCAAAGATGGCATGGTAATTATACAACTAGTAAGTGACAGAAAAGGAGGGACCAATAATAAGTACAGTATTTCTCTCAGTCCAGTGTTATTTACAAGCAGCACATTTTGTAGGGGTGTGTGTGTGTGTGTGTGTGTGTGTGTGTGAGAGAGAGAGAGAGAGAGAGAGAGAGAGAGAGAAAGCACGCCAGCCAGCCAGATAGCAATTCTAGTCCCCCATTTAAGGGGGTCTTCTCACAGCCCCTGACAACAGAGAAAACAGAAAACAGAGCAGGCAGAGTTCATTGGCCACAGGGTTCTATGGTGGAAGTGCCTGTAGGGTAGGAGCCAATGGCTGTGGGTGGCTGCTTCACATCCTGTCTGTGAGAAGTCTTGACTCACACACTTAATTGCATCAGGTTTTGAATCTCTGGCTATTTTATTTCATTGTGGCACTGGAGATTGTACCATGGTGCTCTATCACTGAGCTATTTCCCCAGCATGGTAGCATACACCTATAATTCTGCAACTCGGGATGAGGAGGCAGAAGGATTGCAAGTACAAGGCCAGCCTTGGCAATTTAGCAAAACTCTGCCTCAAAATAAAAAAAATAAAAAGGGTTGGGGAAGTAGCTTAGTGGTAAAGTGACCCTGGGTTCAACCTTCAGTGCCACAAAATTTAAAAAAAAAGAAAGAAAAAGGAATTTGAGGCAGGGCCTAAGTTGTCCAGGCTGGCCTTGAACTTGAAATCCTCCTGCCTTAGCCTGCTGAGTTGCTAGGATTACAGGTATGGACCACCACTCTCAGCATGACTCTAGTTGTCAATTTTGTCACTAGCAGAGGGGTATTTCTTCTTTGAGTGGGTGTCAGGTCAATAGCACAGGCTTAGGAAAAGGTGGGTAGGGCCCAGAAAACAAAGGACGAGACCTATTGTGGAAGGGGCTCACAGGAGATTTCAATCTGTGCAACTCTCCTGGGACAGTACAAGGCTGGGTTCCAGCAGGAGGGCTTCCATGTCACCATTCCAGGATGATACTCCTGATGACTGCTAACTAGGTCTAGTCATTCTTTTCTCCCCAGTTCCCAAATTCAGAAACATAGCTTCTGCTCCTCTACTGCAGCAAGTCTGCTGGATTTAAATTTTCTGAAACCAGCAGCCCTTTCCTTTCCCCATCCTACACATGTCAGGTGGAATTGGGCAGAAGCTTAGAGATCATTCACTTATCTCACAGATGAGTAAGTCAAGTCAGAGAGAAGAGATTCATCAAATCACAGGGCAATCGAAACTGGGACTAGATTTCAGTCCATTTAATTACCTACCAGTCTGCCCATGAGTCTGAACTCATACAGTTCCAGATGTGCTTCTGTACCTTTGGTCTATGTAATGTCAACATTAAATTCACTTAGTTTGTATTTCTGGCCTATTTAGTTTGCACCACTCTGAATTCTTAAGTGTGCTCAATTATGCATGTCATTCCTGTTTTTTTTTTTTTTTTTTTTGTGTGTGTATGTGTTACAGTTGTCTGAGTTGTGAAAGGTGTGTGTCTAAGGGCAATTGAGTATGACTGTTTGTTTCTGTGTTAGAATTATGGGTCTATGGGCTGCTGCTTGCCCATGTTTGTCTGTTTTTGTGGTAAAGGATAGAGGTCCAGCCTCAGCCAATTAACAAGATCTCATCTTAAAACAAAATAAAACAACAAAAAAACTTTAAAAACGGCTGGGGATGTAGCTCAGTGGCAAAGCGCCCCTGCCTTCAAACCTAGTACCAGACCAAAATAAATAAATAAATAAATAAATAAATAATTTTTTAAAAAGGGGTTGGGGGTGATTGTGGTAGGGGTCAATCCACAGTTGATGGTTTTGTGTCTATACTTTTTCAGTGTAATTGTGATTCTGTGTGTGTTTGCATATATGTTACAATTATGGGTCTATGGCTTCTGTGTACTTATATATATATTCTCTTCTCATGTTGAAGGTTATGTCTGCTGACCACTGTGTATCCATTTGGATGTATTTGTACTCAGAGTTGTATCTAATTGCAGTTGCGTCTACAGGGACTGCAAGTTTAAAGGCTGCAGAGAGTCTGCCTTTCATTGCCTTTTGTTCCTGGGTTATGAGAAAATGTGTCCAGGGCAGAGCCAAGCTCTGTCCTCACCCAGGCATGGGGGGGGGGGGGTCAACCTCAACGTCCGGGATGCCCAGGCTTGAGTTCAGGGGCGGGGGCGGGGGCGGGGCCTGGGCCTCCAAGTGAGAAAGCTCATTTCTCCAGGCAGAAGCCGGCAGAGCCTGGCCGGCATCTCCAGTAGCGCCCCGCCCACACTGGACTTCGGCCCGCTGATTGGCGGTGTCTGTGGTGACGTTGCGGGGTTCGCAGATAGAACTCCGAGCTCCCGGCGCGCGGGAGGTATTGTCGTTCACTTCCAGGCTTTGTTACGTCGTCTCCTGCTCACCTGGCCGTGGGTGCGACCTGGCCGCTGTAACCCGGAGCGGGTGCCAGCCGCGGTCGCCATGGTGTCCCCGTTCACTGTGGTGAGTGAACGAGCCAGCCAGTGTCCCTTGTGGCCAGAGCCCATTGGCCTGATGACCGGGCTGTCGCAGGCCAAACTGTTTTGGGGTGAGGCGGGGCAGGGGTCGCGCTGCGGCCGGCTTCCCCCAGCGTGAGACGGGCGTTGTCACGGCCCTCTGCTCCCCAGACCAGCTGTGCCCGCCCTCCGAGCGCCCCCCAACCTCCCGCCCGCTTGCGGGAGGGAGGAAAACACTGGGCACGTGACTCGGAAGCGTGACTTTGTTGACTTGTGTGTGTCTGGCGCGGGTCGACGGGGTCGCGGTCTGGGAGAGGGAGAGGACTGCCCAGGGCCTACGGGTTCTGCGTAGGAGGACCACAGGAAGGCGTGGGAGAGGGCGGAGCGGAGGGCGACTGGGACCGCTCTGGAATCCTGTCCCAAGTTGGTCTTCTCCTCTTCCTCACGTTATAAACAAGTCGGAGGCGCGGGAGAGGACGCCCCTGAATCTAAGCAATCCTGATAATGTGCTAGGGAAGATGGGTCATTCTCTCTTGACATCGCCTCCTTTTCAGACTTTCTCAACTTGAACCTTTTTTGTGTTTCCCCACCCTTCTTGTATCTAGTACTGGTCTTCCCACCTAATGCCAGTTTCTCAGAAAATATGGGACTAGGGGAGGAGGATGGAGAGGACAGTTGATGCTCTGACAGGCTGACAAGTGGATGTCGTGAAGCTGACCATCCCTTCCAGTCTCCTCCTCTGGCCATGCCCTTACCCTGACCAGCCTTGATAAGGAAATTTCCAGGGAGTAGAGGAACTCATCTTTACTCCCTGCTTTCACCTCTGACAGAGAAAGAGCAGGCTTAGACCCTGTACCACTCATTTGCTTCTTCCTAGTCCCCTTTATCACGTCTGATCCATACCCGGGTAACTGGTGGTATAGGAGTCTTGAGTGTCTCCCCAAAGCCCTGTGTTGGACAGCTCACCTAGCCAGAGACACAATCACTTTAGCAGAATGTGAGTGCACAGGGAACCTCAGCTTCTACAAATCACCCTCCAAGACCCTGAACTAGCAACCCAAGGAATGTAGCTTGAGGGAACCCAGATGCAAAATATCTGTAGCAGTCCCCTCCTCCAGCTTGGACTGTCCTTGCAGAGGTTGGGTACAACCTTTCTTTCTTTTGCCACCCTCCCCCCTAATCCGGCTGAGACCAAGTCAGCTGCTCTAACTTCCTCCTCTCAGTTCTCCATCTCCCAGTCTGTTTGCTGGCTCCAGATCAGAAGCTGGGAAAAGAACCCCCATCCTACCCCCGCTTCCTGCTTTTTTCTGGTGTAGTTGAGTTGCTCTTGTTCTCTGGGAAACAAGACTGACAGACATGCACCTTCCTTCCCCTGATACTTGAAATCTTGGTGTTTCAGGGACATTTTTCTTGTTTCCAACCAATGAGTCTGTTTCTCTAGCATCTTTAGTACCTCTCCTTGTCTTGATATGCCACCTTTAGCTAAGGCAGGTAGAGTGGAGAATGAGGAGTAGACCGGCCAAAAAGGAAGAGGAGTTGGAGTGGGAGGAGGTTGTCACTGCCTACCCTCCCACATTCCTTGTGTTGCCAGGCCCTAAGCTTGTGTCCTGGCCTCATTATTGAGGATCTTGAGTTGGCCAGTCTGGGTGTCTGTTTCCTACTGACTTCATTCCAATTCCAGATAGCTGGGGTAGTGCTGATGCTGGCAGGTGAGAGGCTAAAGGGGTCCTAGGGAGGAAAAGGAAGGGGACCAGAAGGGGGAGGCATGTTGGGTTGCAGAAGGGGACACTTTCTTAAAGACTGCTTGCTTTTGGCCCAGACTCAGAGCCAAGAGTAGTCAAATGGAGCCCTTTCCCCTCCTAATAAATGGAGCCTCAGGGTGATGATGGGTTGTTTAGACTCTGCTGGGGGTTGGGGCAGGCCAGACTGGGTTTCTGTATATCACCCTTCCCTGTTTGGGGTGGTATGGGGGGACATAGGCCTGTCTCTAGGGTGGATATCTGGGTTGAAGGTACTGACTCTGAGCCCCATTATGAGCTTCTGAACTCCAAAGCTCTGAGTGCTGCCTTTTTCCTGTATCCTCCAGGTGAAGAGTGAGGGACCCAAACTGGTGCCTTTCTTCAAGGCCACCTGTGTATATTTTGTGCTCTGGCTACCCTCATCCAGCCCGTCGTGGGTCAGTGTCCTCATCAAGTGCCTGCCTATCTTCTGCCTCTGGCTCTTCCTTCTGGCCCATGGCCTTGGATTCCTGCTGGCCCACCCCAGCGCCATCCTCATCTTTGTGGGGCTCATCTTCTCTGCCCTAGGTGATGCCTTCCTCATCTGGCAAGACCAGGGCTACTTTGTGCACGGTTAGTGGTCATAGTAACTGCCTGGGGTGGGGTGGGGGGGATCCTGGGGCTGGGGGAAAGAGGGTCTTGGGGTTGGCAAGGATTTAGAAAAGGGAGCTTTTGAATGGGGGAGTTAGAGGGTTTTTGTGGTGTGGGGTCCCCTGTTGGAGGACTGCCTGATCACTAGGTGAACTCTAGTGATCAGTTCTGAAGTTCTTTAGGGGAGTGTGTGTGTAGGGGTGATCATTACCTTTGTGGATTTTCCTGCACTTGTTAACTTCCATAGAAAATCCGTTGGATTACTCCCCCCAATACTCATTAATTACTAAGCTTGCCTTCAGCATCCCTTATCCCCTCTTACTCCCAGGTCTGCTGATGTTTGCTGTGACTCACATGCTCTACGCCTCAGCCTTTGGCATGCGGCCACTGGCTCTCCGGACAGGCCTGGTGATGGGAGTGCTGTCAGGTCTGTGCTATGCCCTCCTCTATCCAGGGCTTTCAGGTGCCTTCACCTACCTGGTGGGGGTCTATGTGGCCCTTATCAGCTTCATGGGCTGGCGAGCTATGGCAGGACTGCAGCTGGCTGGGGCAGCCTGGCGCTGGACTGAGCTGGCAGCAGGCAGTGGTGCACTGCTCTTTATCATCTCAGACATGATCCTTGCACTGAACAAGTTCTGCTTTCCTGTGCCATACTCTCGGGTAGTCATCATGTCCACCTACTATGCTGCTCAGATGCTCATCGCCCTGTCAGCTGTGGAGAGCCGGGAGCCAGTGGAAGACTATAGACTGAACAAGGCCAACTGAGGGACCAGGATCTGCTCACCTCCCTCTCCTAGGGCTGGGGTCCAGACCCTGGGGAACCTACAGGAGCTGGATCAGGATGGCTGCAGTGCCAGCCTGGGCAGTCGGTATCACTTGGGAATTGACAAGTTTGAAGGGGTAAGCAGGAGAAGGTTCTCCCTAGCAAAGCTAGAGGTTCAGGATAGTGCCGAGTACTCAGAGAAGCAGCTTCCTTTCTGGAGCCAGAACATCACCCCACCTCTACCCCATCAGGACTGTCAAAGACCTCCTGAAGGGTAATGGTGCTCAGCTTCTTGACCCGCCCCTTCCCCTACTAGGTGAAAGAGTCTGACTTCATCTCTTATGCCTAGAACAAGTGGCAATGCTGGATGAATCCACTCCTAACTTTTCTGTTCTGTATAGTCTAGGGAAAGAGGGGAGAAATCTGTGTTGAGATGACCCAGGACCGGGGCTTGAAGCCCTTTTAACAGGCCCATAGTTGGGAAGATTGGATGAAGATGGAATCTCCCTTCCCCTTGTCTATCCTTGTTACTTGAACAATCTCAATCTTTAAGTGTGACTATGGAGGTGAAGGGTAGGCAGGAGAGGAATTTCCTTGGTGTGGGAGCTTGTGGATACCAAGGATTGATCCCATCTCACTCACAGGCCAGCCCAGAGCTCAGGCCCCATACCACCACCCTTAGTTCCTGTTCCCAGGGCTAAGGTAAAAACCATGCCAAAGGAAAGGGCCAGGCTGTGTGTGTGTGTGTGTGTGTGTGTGTGTGTGCGTGTGTGTGGTGTATATGTGTAGTCTGTCTCCTAGCTAGTCTGTGTGTTTTTCTGCCATATGTCTCTGCCTGCTGTCTGTAAAATCTCATAGGGAGAGGGCCTCAGGGAGCCACCGAAGGGTGCTGAGCCTGGCACCTTTCCTCCCAACATACCCACTCAGTGCTTTCCTCCCTGCCCCTCCTACACTGGGCTCCAATGACATTCTAGGGTCTTAAGACCGAAGGCACATTCAGTGCAAGGGAAGGAAGGATGAGGCAACTCCATCCTCTACTGCCCAAATGAAAATAAATAAATAAATAAAAAATAAATCAAGGGCCACTGGCTCCCCTGTTTGTCTGCCTGTGTAGCATGCACGTGCCTGTCCTGGAAAGTGGGTGGGGGCATGGTGCCAGGGGCCCTGGCTGTCCTCACAGCCTGGGTCAAAGTCTTGGCCAGGGCATCTTGGCGCCAGCCTGGCTCTCTGGTTCTGCTGACACTGTGCTAGTTGGAGTGGGTCTCCCTTCTCTGGTCACATGTGTGCATGAGGAGAGGTAGTTTAGGAGGATGGGGGAGGGTAGTGTTTGCCATTGTCCAAATTTGTCCTTGATGCAATTTCCCTATGCACAGGTGCCCAGCAATATTGGTGACCTTTAGTTACCCAATGTCCTCTACTGCTGCCTGCCTCCTCCCCTATCCATCACAGACCTGCTGCCTGCTCCAAATGATCCAGATTTCCCTTCAAGTATCTCCTTCTTCTGGGACTTTAGGCTTAGTTGAACAGCTGGGAGGAATGGGAATAGATTGGCTGATTCATACTTTAGACATAAAGCCCTGTCAGATTAACATGTCACACTACTCCAGGGGCATTTGCATTTTAACAGGCAATGCCCTAACCCTGAAGAAGAAAGGAAAGCCTTGGATGGTGGTGAATATGCCATTGGTAGAACACATTTGTGGGAATGTGATATAGGACACTCAAGTCTCATAGGTGTTGGGTGAATCAATGATATTTCAAACTAGGGTTTCATGTATTTTGTTTTTTGTTTTTGTGGTGCTGGGGATTGAATCTAGGGTCTCGTGCATACTAAGCTTGAACTCTACCACTGAGCCTCAAACTAAGGATTTCTTCCCCTGCCTGCATGGTACTAGGGATTGAACCCAGGGGCTCTCTACCACTGAGATACGTCTCCAGTCCTTTTTCTGTTTTATTTTGAGACAAGGTTTCACTAAATTGCCAAAGCTGGCTTGGAACTTATGATCCTCCTATCTCAGCCTCCCAAGAATCTAGAATTATAGGTGTATGCTACCTGCCCAGCCAAACTAGGGTTCTATGAGATCCCTGGTGGAGAACAGGAAGGAATAAGGAGAGGAAGAAGGCTCAATGACCCTAATTTCAAGTGCAGTAACTTAAGATTTTTTTTATTTTAAAGAAGGATTCTGCTGTAAAATATTTGAAACTGGATGATGAGTCCCTTCTAGCTTTAATAGTGGGACCCCTGGGCACCAAAGAGGCAAAGTCCTGATCCTTTCAAACCTCAGAGTGCTGAACACAGACCTACTGTGTGTGAAGAAATGGGATTGAGCAGGATGCAGAAAAGGATGAAGTCTTCAAGACTTGCCCTATGCTGAGGGGAGTGGGAGAGTGCAGTGTGGCTGTGGAGGAGGGGAAGGCAAGTCAAGGCACAGTCAAAAGGAGGTTGTCACTCCTTTGTGGATGGTTTTGGAGCTTGGTTCATCTTACACTTGAATTCATATTCTAGGCCCCTATTGTACTCCACTCTCAGGAGTAGTAAAGGGTAAGCTCAGTGAGTTTATTGTCCTGTCCCTTCACAGATGTTTACATTGACATACCCCAGAGAGCAAATTGGGCTTTGTACACTGGGGCCATGCAGAGAAACGCCAAGAAGCCCCACATTACAATAGCCTCCAGATGCCTGGGCCGGGCTGGAGCTCACATCAGGTGCTTTGATTTCTTCTGTAGGTTCTCAGTGATTGATGTTAGAATTGACTTGTCATCCTTGTCTGAAAGGTCAAAGCAAATATTTGTTAGTGTTAATGATGCTAGGGGCCAGGGAAACTACAAACTGCTGGGCTTAGTTACTATGTTACTATACAGGAACTGGGAACTGGACTTTGGGACCCTCAATCTGGGGTTGGCTAAGCAGGGCAGGGATCAAGAGCTGTCCCTTTTTATTTTGGCACCAGGGATTGAACCTAGAGGGCTTAATCACTAGCTACATCCCAGCCCTTTTTATATTTTATTTTGAGATGGGGTCTTGCTAAGTTGCTTAGGGCCTCACTAAATGCCTGCAGCTGGCTTTAAATTTGTGATCCTTCTGCCTCAGCCTCCCCAGTTACTAAGAATACAGGTGTTTGTCACTGTGCCAAGCAAGAGCTGCCATTTTCTGGGGGACGGGTACTGGGTACAGGGGCACTCAACTACTGAACCTACATCCCCAACTCAGCTAGGGAGGCTGAGGCAGGAGGATCACGAGTTCAAAGCCAGCCTCAGCAACAGCAAGGCGCTAAGCAACTCAGTGAGAGCCTACTCCCTAGCTGTTGGGATTATAGGCATGTACCACCGCCTGGCAAGAGCTACCATTTTTTTCAGCACTGAATATTTAACCATGCATTGTGCCAGGCATTGCCATGTATTATTTCACTGAAGCCCCACAGCCTTATGAAATATGTGAGATAAAAGAATCCAGAAGTTTGCCATGGTTATGTGGTTGGTCAGTGGTGGCATCAGGGCCCTGGGTTTGTGTGCTTAGAATCAGAGTTAAATCATCAGGGATCTCTCTATCTGTGAAATCAAAGCTGTATAGCTCCCACAGTGCCTGCCCTGGCCTAGTTCTGTGCAGTTTAGCAGCCACTCCAGAGGCATCATTATCTCAGTGCCACTGAACTGAGCACTTGAGAGACAGAGCCAAAGGACATGGTTCTTTCCCCAAGGAAAAGCATCTATAACTGGATGGAAAGAGGTCTGTAACCATGGAGACCACAACAATTGAGCACCACTCACCTCTGAGAGTTGACAGAGTGACAGAGGATGAGGATGGAGAGAGGAGGGGCAGTGGGAGAGACTTGTTGGTTAGGGACTTTATTTTGAGGATCAGGGGAAAGTTAGGGGGTATTTAAGCAAGAGGAAGCAAAGAGGTTAGTTTTTTTTGGGTTCATTGCTGGCTATGTGTGGGAAGGAATGAAACATTTCCCTCTATGTGCACACATATGAGCAGAAATAAGACATGCATATGCAAGAGGGAGGGGAGCATTCAGTCCCTCTGCTGTTTGTGCCTTCCATTTGTCCTTGCCCTAGACCAATAGTTTTCAATCTTGTTTGCACATCAGAATCACTTGCAAAATCTTGTAAACATACAGAGTCCTTCTTGAACCTTGCTAGAGCAATTGTGGTTGGTGAGTCTGGTGACCATCTTTTCTAAAGGTGGTCTAGGATTACCAAAGGTTGCAAACACAGCTTACTAAAGGATCACAAACTTACATCTGCAGGGGCCAGGAACATAACAAATGATACTGAGAGGATCCAAGAGTGGTAAGAACCCTGAAAATATTTGCACCATCAGATGGCAGTCAGAATAAAAAATGGTGCTAGCCAAATGAAGAGAGTTGATTAATGGCCCCCAAACTGAAATAACTGCTTGGCACTCCTGCCCCTGACAGAATGGACTCTTCGGGGCCTTACCATAGACGGTAAGTGTGCAGCTGCTGCGGTCCTTGCCAAGTTCATTCTCCACCAGCACGCTGTACTCCCCACTGTCCTTTAGTGTGCAGGTGGGAATGACAAGGGTGCATACTCCACTCGTGGAGTTGTACCAGAACTTGGAGTTGGCCGTGATGTTGACATCACCCTTGTAGAGGGTCACTGTGGGCCGTGGGTTCCCAAGGAAGGCGCAGGTCATGGTGCAATCCTGGCCTCGGAGCACCATGTGTGGCTTGAGCGGAGTCAGGAAACGAGGTGCGTGGCGCCAGTCCTTCTGCTGGTATGGCTTCAGCTTGGTGTCCAGGTTTTCAACTGTGCAGGAGGGATGGGGTAGATGCCTGTGAGTGGCTCCCTAGCTGCCATCCCTGTCTTAGAGCTTGGAAGGCACCTGGAGACCCAGCCTACATGAAACCCCAAGGACTTGGACCAGATTCTCAGACACCATCAACTCTGGAAGCCCTGATGTTACACTGGTTCCTAAAGGCTCTACCACACTACCCCTCCCTACCCCCAAGCCATTCTAGAGTTCTTTGATCTAAGCAGGTTCACAGGTTTTTATACTCTCCCAGACCCCAGGAGCTTAGATGTCTTTCCAGTGCCAACTCATCAGACCTGGGTATTCAAGCTGTTATCCTGGCCTCTAACTCCCCTCCAAACTTCCCCTCTATCATTTTAGCTTCCATTGCCTAGTATTCTCTGTTCTGTCCCATTTAGTCCCTCATTTCCAATTTTTTTCTGTTATCTCCACCCTAAATTTCTTCTCTTCATTCCTGCTCAGACTTCATTCCTGCTCCTCATAGTCAGTCCCCAGCCCTCACTCCTATAAGCCCCTCTTCAGAGCAGACCTAGAGTCTCTGCTCTAATCCCCTCTCTACCCAACCCTATCCCCCTGCCATCATCCCCGCCTCAAAAATAGGGTATCTACCCATCTCCATGTTTGTATCATCCCTCAAAATGCCCCTAAGATATCTTCTCTAATAAGTACCCCTAACATTGACTTTCCTCAGTGTCTCAGATATTAACTCTTCCATCTCAATGGATCTCTGATTTTGTTTATATGTTTATGGATTCTGGAGATTTAACCCAGGGATGCTTTACCATCGACCTACATCTCCAACTCTTTTATTTTTTTATTTTGAGACAGGTCCTCAATAAGTTGCTGATGATAGCTTTGAATTTGCCATCCTCCTGTCTCAGCCTCCCTAGCCTCTGAGGTTACAGGTGTGTGCCAGGGTTCTCCGATTTTTATCTCAACTCTTGCATACCCCTTTGTGACCTTTATGTCATCCCCACCATCAGGGCTCCCAGATGTAATGCAAACCTCAAGCCCCTACTTACTGTGGTCCTTATTGACGAGCCAGGTATCCTTGGAGTCCAGTGGATCACTGTCACCAATTTCATTCCTGGCTACCACTCTGAAATAGTACTTTCTGCCTGGGAGCAGCCCTGTCACTGTGTATTTGTTGCTGAAGACACGCTCAGCTGCCGTGAACCATGTGGGACTGCTGGCATCCCGCTTCATGATGACATAGTGCGCATCACCATCTTCCTGCACATCAGGGCTGTGGTTCCAGGTCAGAGTCACTGTGTTGGGGACCTCCTCAAACAGTTGTAGGTTTGT